AAAAAACAAACAAACAAACTTGTTTCGTCATATAATCATTCCTGCAGAAATATTTCAACGGAAAACATAAGAACAATTTCCTTGTACTATCTGTTGAGAAATATAAGAAAATATAACCTCATTACAGTAATATTAAATTTTGTTCACTATTGTGACAATGATATAACCTATTAAAAACTGAAGATATTTGTATATTCTTTTTCTTAAGTTTATATAAGACATAGTACCAGCTCATACTTCTTTTTCCATAATACAGTATAAGGAATATTTTTTGTTAGTTTAGTTAATAATAAAACTTTCTTTTATTTGAGTGACAATTTTGTAGTTTTCTTTTTTTTTTGCTAAAACAAAAACAGCTGGTTGAACGAGAAAAAATATTCAGGGGTGAGATAATTTATGTCTGATATTTTATACCGTGAACATTAATAAAATATTGCAGGCTCTTTTTTATGTGTGTATATGTAAGTTAAACATTTGTATTGTACTTTGGCCAGGAGGAGGTTTGACATCATGTGATGAGCTCATGGCTTAACATCTGGAATTTTCTTAGAATGGTCTGAACAGTATAAAACACTAATTAGGCTAGAGAAGATAATTATTGAGAGTTAGTAAGTTAATTGAAGTAATGTGACATTTGATTAAGTTTATTAGTTCATTGCTGTGATTTTTGTTTTTGAAATGAAATATTAACGATGAGAGAAAATGCTGTATGTAGTTGAGCAAATTAGCAAGTAAATAAAATTGTTGTATTAGCAACTGCTGTGAAGTTAGACCTATCAGTGAAAATTAATTAAGCTAATTTGTAAATGAAGAAATGCTTGTTATTCCTAAATGGAGTGGATTTTAAATTCTTTTTTCTTCTTCTGAATAATCATAATAAATCCACAAACACAGAAATCATTACAACGTGTCATAATTTGAAATATATAATTTTTCATATTTTTACTAATTGTCAGAATGAAAAGACTTTTACTTATATTTGTTAACAGTATAAATACATACTGTGTTGTTCTTGGGCTTAGGATTCTTCTACAGTAGGTGTCTGTGATTTGTTAGAAATAAATTCAACCATAAATGAACAACACGCACTTCACTTGTTTTCAAAATAACATTGTTACGTATCTGCTCGTTTGATAATTTCCCGTAAAAATTCTTTCCGAAGAACTTCAGCGATACAAGTCCTTTCTTAAATAAAACTAGTTTATTCTTCCTCAATACAACTTTGCAATACACAGAATTTCCATAGTCACTTTAACTTAAACACACGCTATAATTCACAATGATTTACACACTTTACTTACGACCTGACTCGATTATTTGTCTATATCTTCAATCTCTCTGTCTGCTATTCCAGTTCCGATTAAATTGTCTCGCTTATATACAGAAATAGAGGGCGTCTAGCAAATATTGGATTATTCGTGATGTTTCCCGATCATTCTACTTACCAGCGTCACGTGACTTCCGCTATATATATATTCGGAACAAATGAAACGTATGTACAACAAATTCTTCACACTACAAAGATTATAGGCATATCATAAACACTATATGTATAGTTTTCTTCTTGTCAAAAATCCACTTAGGCCTATTCAATTACTTTAGAATTTCAGTTGACAAGCCCAACTATCTTCTCTATTAGTGTTACTATCGCACTAGTATTCTGTGCAATTCACTTACAATTGTAGCGCGAGTTACCGTAATCGTTTGGTCTTCTTTCTTCTAAAGATCCTCTGTTCCTTTTATCAAAGTGCACTCTGGTTGATTCAATTACTTTAAAACCACATTTTGACGGAATAAATTATTTTTATTATCTCCTTTTCTACTGTTAGCTTTGCTCTAACATAATAAACGTCAGGCCTATCACTTCTACGGTACGTAACTTCACGCCGACCTTTTCTTTAGCCTAAAACTTTATTTTTTCTGCGATTATCTGTCTGCTGCCTCCCGTTCGTCTCACCTATTTATATGTTTATCACCTCATCGTCTCTCCGCCTTTTATATTCTCGACGTCAATGTATTGCACCCTACGTTCAATAGTCTCAACATCAATGAATTATCAACAAAACCTAAAATCGTCTGCTTTTAACTCTTACTAGACAACCCGTTGGGTCACCCACTATTCAGAGGTTATGAAGAATTCAAGCTAATTTCAATCTTGCACCGAAATGAAGGTTTATTTTAAGATAATTTAATTAAATATTTCAATCCATTCATAATTCAAGAAAATATATTTGATTGTTGATCGGGAGTAAAAGTAAAGACCATTTCATTTTTCAAAAAAGTGAAGTTAGAGTTTTCAGGTATTGTGATGAATTAGTTCATTATGTTGTGGTCTTTCCTCTTAAACCTTCTACAAATAAGAAACAGTAACACCTTATATTTTCTTCGAATTACCTATCATAATAAAGGCACATTATTGAGAAATTCTTTAAGATCTTGTTTTTGTCATCTTACGCCTTTTAATGAAGATGGGAACATTGACAGGGAAGTAGATTTGAACGAACGAAGTTTCGTAAAG